ACTGGAAATAGCAGCTAAAGAAAGTTGTCAGCGTGCAGTTGAATTAGAGCGACAACTAACGTTAGAAAATAAAGCGACTATTGAAGAAAACATGTAATTTTGTATTTCATTTTACAATTGAATTCGCTTTAAATTGTACATTGATTTGAGTTTCTATTATTTAGATATTCAACTGTGATAATTGTATATTGTAACTCTAACATTTTTGTATTTTTATGATTGCATGAATTTTAAAATGTTATATTTAAGTTTAATTTAAAAATCAACTTTGAAATGAGATAATCATTAAAATAAAAAATAATTTTTTGATGCGATATAATAATTTGCTATATGTAATAGCCTGTCGAATTCGAATACAAATGATTTTTAATTTACCTTTTAATAGGCCCGACAGTGTGAGATCTTGTTTGAATACATCCCAAGAATCCTTAATAGATCCTCATCCTGTAACGTTCGATACAGTAATTCGTGTGATGGCGTCTTATGATATGGGGTGGACTACAAGAGGAACTGGTCGCGACTATGATAGTCTTAATGGTTTTGGATCTATAGTAGGCCACTTCAGTCAGCAAATTTTAGATTACTCAACATGTAATCGAAAGTGCAAAAAATGTGACATGGGACATACTCCTTTCGATCATGATTGCAGACTGAATTTTAGAGGCTCTGCCAAAGCCATGGAATCGCATGCAGCAAACAAACTAGTCAATGAAAGTGATATTTTAAAATAAAAAGATGTCAAAATTGGCATTCTTGTTGGTGACGACGATAGTTCCGCCATAGCTGCTTGTCGAGCAGGTGCTTCGCATTCAATTGCAAAATTATCAGATGTCAACCATACATCCAAAGGAGTGAAGAAATGCTTGTATAATATAGAAAAACAGCACAAAGAGTTGACAAAAGACGGAATAACCTACTTTCACAGATGTTTCACATACGATAGGTGCGTTCGGGAAGACGCTATTAGTGCTATTTGCTTATTTTATCCTTGTTTTACACCTGATGAGCGATAAAGATAGAATGATGCAATAGCGCTAATAGCGCGCTTTCCGAACGTAGCCGATATGACCCAGAATAGGGGTAAAAGTACAGCTATGGCCGAGACGATAAGGAGTATCCCTTATCATGCGTTCAATCAGCATGAAAAATGCGGCCAATGATGTGGATACGTGAAAGACAAGGAAAATTATAATCACAGAATAATTCCAGGTGGCTTTACAGACTTAAAATTATTTGAGGCACTTAAGGAAGTCTTTGATAAACTGGCATCAAATGCAGAAAAATTTTCTGTAGGCGCCTCCAGTAACGTAAATGAAAGCCTTAATGCAAGTATGGCTAGTAAGGCGCATAAATCTAAATGTCTAAGCCTAACAGCATCAGCCGATTATCGATACGCTTCTGTTGTTGCGCAAAAGAATATTGGAGAAAGTTACCCCCAAATAGCTGCAAAAATGTTGACATTGTCGCCTGGTAAACATCATTCCAAGCACGTTAAATGGATTCAATTAAAAAACGACGACAAATAACAACAGCAAGTCGTGCATTTAAATTGAGGCGTATGCAATTAAAAAAATATAGAGTTTCTCTACGATACCAAAGAGAACTTTCAGAAGGTGTTACTTACGAAAGTAATTCTGCTTTATTGAAAGAGCCAGCCGTACAAATAAATAAAGAATGTATGAATGATGATGAAGGTACTATGGAAGAAGATATTCCCATAGTATATCTAATTGATCTCGAAACCTCAGGATTTCAAAAAAATTGCGATATTTTGCAAATTGCAGCCAAATGTGGTAAAAATTCTTTCGACGTTTATATTCAACCTAGTCAAGAGATTTCTGCAGCTGCCACTGCGGTACATGGTCTTCGAAAATGTCAAGCAGAGTTAATGCTGTATGGTAAACCAGTTCCTTCAGTTCCACCAAGGCTTGCAATAACAAATTTGTATCAATGGTTAATTTTATTAAAAAAGAAATGTTATATAGCGATACATAATTTGAGTTTTGATGGAGCAAGATTGATTGATTTAATAACAGTTTATTCTTTAAGCGAAGAGTTTGCTGACATTATTGTAGGATTTATAGATACCTTACAGGTTATAAAAAAAGAAACTAATCGAAAAGGTAAAGGAGAATGTTCAATTACAGGATTAACAAATTGGCTTAAAATTTCTAGTGTAAATGCTCATAACGCAGTGCAAGATGTATATATTTTAGAAAAAATTATTAGTAAATCTGGTATTAGTTATAAAACATTAACAAAATATGCAGTGAGTTATGCAAAAAAATCACAAAAGTGGATTGTAGATAAGCGCATAAATAGTCTGCTTCTAGATTTAAGTCCATTAAACGGTATAATGAGTTTAGATATTAGGAAAAAACTGGCACGAGCTTCTATTAACATGCAATGTTTAAAAGATACTTATTTTCAATCTAGTTCAGAAGGGATTTATCAATTGTTAAGTAAAAAGGAAAATGATAAGCCTGTAGTAATGGCGTCTAAGTAAGTCATTAATAAAATAATAGATTATTTTAAAACACTTTAGAATTATTTAATAATGAATTATTTTATTAAAATATATGTTTCAATATAATTATAGTTTGTTTCCGTTTCCGTAGTATTTATATAGATATAAAAATTTTCAAATATCTATGATAATCGAGCGTTACACGCACTTTATTTAAATGTATTTTTTTTCTACGTATAAAATATTAATATGTTATTTATTTAATTTGTGAAAGATTTTATATTTATTATATGTGTTGATAATTTATCATTTTCAATGCAATTATATAATAAACGAAATGTTTACATATAAATTAATAATCGATTATTTATGACATTTTGATATCAATTATATTTCGATACACAGGAGGCTCTATTGAAAAAAGTAACGGACCTCTGTAGTATTTGTTATCCTTTACGGAGAGTGACGGGGAGAGAGGTTATAATGTGACGTCATAGTGCGCTGTTACCGGATCTCCGTACTTACGAGTTCAGCGAGACCAAGCAAGACTGTTCTCTGTTTGCTTTTTATTCAATATTTCAGAAAATATCCTTGAAGTCATAATTTTTTTGGTTCTAATTTGTTTGTAAGATGTTTATTAATATTTCTGCAAAGTTTTGAAAGTATGCCATATTTTCTTCAATATTAATTTCTCAAATGAAGTTGAAAAAATAGTGAAACTTGATGAATTCCCATAAGAGCCCATGTTACATTCAAATTGTTATAACTTTTGAACGAGCCTCGCAAACTTGTTCAAACTTGGCACAATGCTTTATTATTATAATACTCATCACCTGACAAAGTTTGAAGAATTTGACATTTTTTCTTCTAAGGGGTCATACAACCTTAATATACATATTTTTGCCCCCTACCGGAACTAGTTAAAATTTCGCCTCAAATTAAGTCGTCGATTACGACGAATAATTAAGTAAAAATATTGTTTATACAAAACAGGATAATTATAAAATTGTATATAAAATTATATTGTATATAAAATTATAATACAATTATAAAATAAAATAGATAATATATAGATTATAGAATAATACAAATAACAGAATAGAAAACAAATAAGGTAATTGTATACATCGAGGAAATAGACCTCGTTTCGAGCCGAAAGCAACGATTCGCTGCTTTAATAACTAATTCGGTGCTAATAACTGCTTTAATAACTATAATTCGCTGCTAAAATAACTTTTGAATAAACAACGAGCGCGGGCTAAAACCTTCTGAAGATCAGTCAGAAGGGTGACCTTGACAACATACTAAAATATCAAGGTCATCCAAGGTGACCCCCTCAATGTATACAATTACCAAAAAATAATTATGTAATATTAAGTATATAAAACAATAATACAATATGACATACTACAGTTTTTTTTATACAAATAATTGTTTATAAACAACTTATACTGAATATTCTAATTAAAAATTCACATAAAATTATTTGACATTAAACTGCAATTTAAAAAAAACGAAAGTAATCTCATATTCATGAAAGATGAAAATGTGACGAGAAGCCGGAATTCTTATTGGTCGCCCAACGAGAACACATTACGCGAATCGACTTGGTGGAGAATAAAATGGAGACGTTACCTGTGCACGATCTAAAGAATGTCATTGCAATCGAATTTGATATGAAAAATAACTGTCTGTACTGGGCAGATATTGTAAACGACACAATCGGTGACAGTGTCTGAAGGATGGCGCTAGCTATCCCGAGATTCTCGTTGAGACCGATCTGAGTTCCGTCGAGGGAATGGCCTTCGATTGGGTGTCTAATGTGCTCTATTTTGTGGACGGTGTTAAGATGAGGATACAGATAATCCGAACGGATGTACCTGCTATGGGCAGAATGCGCAGGACGATATTAGGGCCGAACAATCTGCAAAAGCCCCGAGGTATCGCGGTTCATCCTATATGTTCTGGACCGATTGGGCACCGGGCAATGCCTCGGTCTCCCGAGCCAACTTAGACGGCACGGACGTTAAACGATTGTTCACTAAGCCCAATGTTGAATGGCCGAACGGAATAACGATCGATCATATCGCCGAACGTATCTACTGGGTGGACGCTCGAGCGGATTACATAGCTTCCTCCGACTTCGATGGTAAAAGGTTCAAGAAGATCATCGCTAACGACGCGCGTGTCTCGCATCCATTCGCGGTCGCTGTGTTCAAGGACAACGTGTATTGGGACGATTGGAAGCAGTCGATGATATTCATCGCCAACAAGGATCACGGGGTCGGAATCAACACGGTAGTCGGTTTCCAGATCGCGGGTCTGATGGATCTCAAGATCTTCGCGCACAGCGTGCAGATCGGCAAGAACGAGTGCGCGAAGAACAACACGTGCTCGCACATCTGCCTGGGCGCGCCGCACAACAGCTACGTTTGTCTCTGCCTGGACGGTATGGTGATGACGGACGGCAAGTGTTTCTGCCCGAACGGTGTCAAGCCGTACACCAACTCGACGTGCCCGCGCGTCGCCAGCACCTGCTCGTCCAACCAGTTTGCCTGCAACAACCACGTGTGCATCCCCGAATTCTGGAAGTGCGACGGCGACAACGACTGCGGCGACAACTCAGACGAGGTGCATTGCAACCGCGCCACGTGCAGCCCGAATAACTTCGAATGCGACGATAACAAATGCATACCTAAATACTGGGTGTGCGATCTGGATCGTGACTGCAAGGACGGCAAGGACGAGGTAAATTGCACGTACACCAATTGCACCGAGACGCAGTTCAAGTGCCACAACGGCCGCTGTATATCTCATCGTTGGCGCTGCGACGGCGAGGACGACTGCCGCGACGGCTCGGACGAGCAGAATTGCACCAAGAACGTTCAACCGAATACGTGTCGCTCCGACGAGATGGTCTGCAAGGCGGATCACTCGTGCATACCGACCTCTTGGAAGTGCGACGGCGAGCCAGACTGCGAGGACGGCGCCGACGAAAAGGACTGCAACAACATGGTGTGCGAGTCATGGCAGTTTACATGCAACAACACTAAGGAGAACGGACATCGGTGCATATATAAATCATGGGCATGCGACGGTGACAAGGACTGCGTCGACGGCTCCGACGAGATAAATTGCACCATCACCACTATCGCACCACCGATAAGCCCGTCTATATCGATGAACTCCTGCAACGACTGGATGTTCATGTGCAACAACAAGAAATGCGTGCCCTACTGGTGGAAGTGCGACAGCGTGGACGACTGCGGCGACGATTCCGACGAGATAGGCTGCGGCGGCGGCGTGGACGGCGGCCTAGATCCTACGCCTCCGATTCACACGACGCAACAGCCGCGCAACTGTCGCGAGCATCAGTTCCAGTGCTACAACGGCGATTGCATTGAGAACGCGTGGGTGTGCGACGGCTCCAACGACTGTCCGTCGGGCGAGGACGAGCAACACTGCGAGCAGACGCACGCGTGTCGCGAGAACGATCAATTCATGTGCCGTCAAGACGGCTCGTGCGTACCGCTCTCGAGCATCTGCAACGGCATCGAGGAGTGTCCGGACGGCAGCGACGAGCTTGGTTGCCACACGGATCACGAGGTGAACCCACCTGCCACGCCGTCCTGCTACGTTGGCCTTTTCCCATGCGACGAGACCCGCTGCTTCCCGCTGGCGGCCTACTGCGACGGCAAACACGATTGTCTAGACGGCTTCGACGAGAGTAATTGCGAGAAGAACGGCTCGCGCGTGTATCAGGTGCTAGTGATGGGCGTGGACGAGCGCTCTGTCAATGATTCGAGTTTCTTCCTCTTCTGGTGGATGCCTATACCGTCGAACGTGACGTTCGAGTTTTCGCCGGTATATGTGTAAAACAATAAAAATTTTATCACATTTGGTGCATTCGCAAACATGCGGCGAGATTGCGAGCTCTCATCACATGGGCGGAAATGCAAATGAAAATTTGCACATGCGAGTGCGCATGCAAATGCAGATGCGATGCATACATACAGAAATGTCAATACAATATCTAGAAATATTCAAAGCATATATAGTCACACAGAGCATCAAAGTGGCAGAAACAATATTTTTCTATAATTCTTTGAACGCATCTGATATGCAATAAAAAAAGTTTGTTCTTTAATTACTTGTATGATGTATATATTGGGTATATATGGAAAAAGTAGGGGAAACCGGGGCGAAGTCGTCACTATTTTTTCGATGCCGATTTTTAACAACAAAACAAATATCTTTAGTAAAATGTGATATACCGTTGTAAAGAGTGAACTCTTGGCAAAATTTATACGGACACTTTTGGTCTACGTCGCTTTGTTCAACTGGGATAGAGTAAAACCAACAAAGGTGCAAAAATTAAAATGTCAAAATTGCCGAGGCGGAGTTGTTACTTCATTCTCGGATTGAATTTTAAATGACAATTGATTATGAAAAATGATAGGATACATTTTATTAATTATTTTTTAATAGAAAAATGGAAACATTAATTAAAAACACGATGGCAAAAACTAATTAGAAGAAAAGCGCACACACTTATGTGCCCTACGCTCGCACATTTCTCGTCAGCTCAATTCTGTCATCTCTGAGCACACGCAGCACATATTATCTAAGTCCTCGCCGGAATTCGACCGCTGCTGCTTTTTTGACTTTGATTTTCGCCCGAAGCCTCCATGATATGGCTTGGTGACGACTTCGCCCCGGACACAAATTTCAAGTTTGGTCGCTCATAAAATATTAGAAATCAATGAAAATAAAAAACTTCACTAAATTCGTGTTCAGCATGCATTACTCTTTAGAATCCATTTACTTTGAGATTCGGAGACACAATAATATTTAAGATATTACAAATTTTCGACGCGCAAAAAATTTTACTTTCGACCTCCGAAAACATGTTTGCCTCGATAAAAATCACAACATGGCACATAATCTCACTAAACTCCGTTGGTCACGTGGGCACCATAAGCCGTGTTTGCAGTATTAATGGCGAGTTCCACACAATAACATACAGATTTCGAGAATTGTAATGACGACTCCGCCCCGGTAACGACTTCATCCCGGTCTCCCCTACTAAAGAAAAATATCTTAAACATTTTAATATCATGCTTTTTTTAAGAGAGAAGACAAAGAATAAAGTTTTCTATAAATATACAAATCGTATAAAGTAATAGTTACATTTACACAGAACTTTATAATGTATTTAAATTTTTTTTGTAAAAATGTTTTAAAGAATTGAGAAAAACATAATTAACGCAAAAAAGATACAAAATAAATTTAAAAACAAAAAAGAAATTAAACAGTTGCGCGAGATGCATATACTAATCAGATTGCAAACAAATATAATGTTTAAGATAATGTCAAAATCGATTAATCTTAGGACTTCACTGACATAGAAAAAGATAAATAGAGTACCAAAAAAATTATTCTTAAGTAGAATATATATCACTCATATATGTAGGTATGTCTAAAAAATATATATATATTCTTTTCTTCCCTTTTTAGTAGCTCAGAAATTGGTATTAGATATTATAAATTTTAATCTAACTTGGTATTGCAAAATTTTTATTTCTAAATTATGTATTATTATTATACGTTATTCTATTATTCATTACTTCTTGGTAATAATTTTTAATTGTGTTATGCGCAGTATTTGTTATTCTCATTATACATATTAGAATGCGTTTATCATTTCTTTTTAGTGTAATATTGAGTAATATAGTGTAATATAATCTTTTGTGATCTTTACAAGTTCCTACTTTAAAACTTGTGATAGATAAAAAATGTATAAAATCAAAGTTATTTTGTCTAGAGAAATAAAATTAAATGATTATAACTTTGTTCTAAATAGAGTATTTAAAGATATAAATCATTTTTACTTTGAATAAAACTATGTAATTTTTTACATAAATTAATTCTTTATTCTTTTAGCGTGTGCAATGTCAATATTGTCAATATAGTCTAAGATCCCGACCTACATCGACCTTCACCCATCTGTTTTCCTAATAAAAGGTATTTTTTATCAAACCTAATGAATAAACAAACAAATTGCAGATGGGTTGCCTAATTAAATCAGCTCAAGGCTACCCTTAATTAAAAATAATTTAATTAATTTTTTTTTTATTTCTACATTCATTTGTATTCTCAAAACATTCAATACCAATCGAAAGTACAAAGAATAAGTAGAAAGGAAAAGTTAGGTTGCCTATCTTTTACTGCTCCCTATTACCGGGTTGCCAGATATAAACAGGTGAGTTGGTATTACTAATTTACACTCATCTGTTTTCTTTAATTAAACTATACAAAAATTAAAGATAATTTTATTGCGAACACAGTGGTATTAGGTTGCCTAAGCAAAATCGATCAAGACTTGCGGTTGCCGCGCTTTAAAATAGTACAGGAAAATTAGGATTTTTCTGCGGAATAAATCGCATGTAGCTAAATTTTTGCATGGACCTTTATTTCGTCGTTAAAAACAATATGTGAAAAGTCCCCATCGATGTGACCCCTGCTAAAAATTTTACAGAGGGTCAAAGGTAAAGAAAAACAGTTTTTCGCGAATATTTCTTTATTCATTAGTCCTACGGCAAAAATAGTTATTACAAAATTTGTAGCTTATAAAATTCTCTACAAAAAATGTTGTATAAGTTTTTTTGTACAAGCAATACTTTTCACGTAATAAATTTTGCAAGATATGCGCTGCGCGGTAAATTTACGGAGCGCGCTGACAGACGTCAAATAAATTGAAGCGTCGCACGCGCGCACTAAAAAGCATTAAAAAGCTGAAAGTTTCTGCTTTTCAACGATTCTTTGATCATTTCTGTACGATGATTCGTTCAAAAGATATGACATTTTTAGTGCGCGCGTGCGACGCTTCAATTTATTTGATGTCTATCAGCGCGCTCCGTAAATGTACCGCGCAGCGCATATCTTGCAAAATTTCACATCGATGGGGACTTTTCACATATTGTTTTTAACGACGAAATAAAGGTCCATGCAAAAATTTAGCTACATGCGATTTATTCCGCAGAAAAATCCTAATTTTCCTGTACTATTTTAAAGCGCGGCAACCGCAAGTCTTGATCGATTTTGCTTAGGCAACCTAATACCACTGTGTTCGCAATAAAATTATCTTTAATTTTTGTATAGTTTAATTAAAGAAAACAGATGAGTGTAAATTAGTAATACCAACTCACCTGTTTATATCTGGCAACCCGGTAATAGGGAGCAGTAAAAGATAGGCAACCTAACTTTTCCTTTCTACTTATTCTTTGTACTTTCGATTGGTATTGAATGTTTTGAGAATACAAATGAATGTAGAAATAAAAAAAAAATTAATTAAATTATTTTTAATTAAGGGTAGCCTTGAGCTGATTTAATTAGGCAACCCATCTGCAATTTGTTTGTTTATTCATTAGGTTTGATAAAAAATACCTTTTATTAGGAAAACAGATGGGTGAAGGTCGATGTAGGTCGGGATCTTAGACTATATTGACAATATTGACATTGCACACGCTAAAAGAATAAAGAATTAATTTATGTAAAAAATTACATAGTTTTATTCAAAGTAAAAATGATTTATATCTTTAAATACTCTATTTAGAACAAAGTTATAATCATTTAATTTTATTTCTCTAGACAAAATAACTTTGATTTTATACATTTTTTATCTATCACAAGTTTTAAAGTAGGAACTTGTAAAGATCACAAAAGATTATATTACACTATATTACTCAATATTACACTAAAAAGAAATGATAAACGCATTCTAATATGTATAATGAGAATAACAAATACTGCGCATAACACAATTAAAAATTATTACCAAGAAGTAATGAATAATAGAATAACGTATAATAATAATACATAATTTAGAAATAAAAATTTTGCAATACCAAGTTAGATTAAAATTTATAATATCTAATACCAATTTCTGAGCTACTAAAAAGGGAAGAAAAGAATATATATATATTTTTTAGACATACCTACATATATGAGTGATATATATTCTACTTAAGAATAATTTTTTTGGTACTCTATTTATCTTTTTCTATGTCAGTGAAGTCCTAAGATTAATCGATTTTGACATTATCTTAAACATTATATTTGTTTGCAATCTGATTAGTATATGCATCTCGCGCAACTGTTTAATTTCTTTTTTGTTTTTAAATTTATTTTGTATCTTTTTTGCGTTAATTATGTTTTTCTCAATTCTTTAAAACATTTTTACAAAAAAAATTTAAATACATTATAAAGTTCTGTGTAAATGTAACTATTACTTTATACGATTTGTATATTTATAGAAAACTTTATTCTTTGTCTTCTCTCTTAAAAAAAGCATGATATTAAAATGTTTAAGATATTTTTCTTTAGTAGGGGAGACCGGGATGAAGTCGTTACCGGGGCGGAGTCGTCATTACAATTCTCGAAATCTGTATGTTATTGTGTGGAACTCGCCATTAATACTGCAAACACGGCTTATGGTGCCCACGTGACCAACGGAGTTTAGTGAGATTATGTGCCATGTTGTGATTTTTATCGAGGCAAACATGTTTTCGGAGGTCGAAAGTAAAATTTTTTGCGCGTCGAAAATTTGTAATATCTTAAATATTATTGTGTCTCCGAATCTCAAAGTAAATGGATTCTAAAGAGTAATGCATGCTGAACACGAATTTAGTGAAGTTTTTTATTTTCATTGATTTCTAATATTTTATGAGCGACCAAACTTGAAATTTGTGTCCGGGGCGAAGTCGTCACCAAGCCATATCATGGAGGCTTCGGGCGAAAATCAAAGTCAAAAAAGCAGCAGCGGTCGAATTCCGGCGAGGACTTAGATAATATGTGCTGCGTGTGCTCAGAGATGACAGAATTGAGCTGACGAGAAATGTGCGAGCGTAGGGCACATAAGTGTGTGCGCTTTTCTTCTAATTAGTTTTTGCCATCGTGTTTTTAATTAATGTTTCCATTTTTCTATTAAAAAATAATTAATAAAATGTATCCTATCATTTTTCATAATCAATTGTCATTTAAAATTCAATCCGAGAATGAAGTAACAACTCCGCCTCGGCAATTTTGACATTTTAATTTTTGCACCTTTGTTGGTTTTACTCTATCCCAGTTGAACAAAGCGACGTAGACCAAAAGTGTCCGTATAAATTTTGCCAAGAGTTCACTCTTTACAACGGTATATCACATTTTACTAAAGATATTTGTTTTGTTGTTAAAAATCGGCATCGAAAAAATAGTGACGACTTCGCCCCGGTTTCCCCTACTTTTTCCATATATACCCAATATATACATCATACAAGTAATTAAAGAACAAACTTTTTTTATTGCATATCAGATGCGTTCAAAGAATTATAGAAAAATATTGTTTCTGCCACTTTGATGCTCTGTGTGACTATATATGCTTTGAATATTTCTAGATATTGTATTGACATTTCTGTATGTATGCATCGCATCTGCATTTGCATGCGCACTCGCATGTGCAAATTTTCATTTGCATTTCCGCCCATGTGATGAGAGCTCGCAATCTCGCCGCATGTTTGCGAATGCACCAAATGTGATAAAATTTTTATTGTTTTACACATATACCGGCGAAAACTCGAACGTCACGTTCGACGGTATAGGCATCCACCAGAAGAGGAAGAAACTCGAATCATTGACAGAGCGCTCGTCCACGCCCATCACTAGCACCTGATACACGCGCGAGCCGTTCTTCTCGCAATTACTCTCGTCGAAGCCGTCTAGACAATCGTGTTTGCCGTCGCAGTAGGCCGCCAGCGGGAAGCAGCGGGTCTCGTCGCATGGGAAAAGGCCAACGTAGCAGGACGGCGTGGCAGGTGGGTTCACCTCGTGATCCGTGTGGCAACCAAGCTCGTCGCTGCCGTCCGGACACTCCTCGATGCCGTTGCAGATGCTCGAGAGCGGTACGCACGAGCCGTCTTGACGGCACATGAATTGATCGTTCTCGCGACACGCGTGCGTCTGCTCGCAGTGTTGCTCGTCCTCGCCCGACGGACAGTCGTTGGAGCCGTCGCACACCCACGCGTTCTCAATGCAATCGCCGTTGTAGCACTGGAACTGATGCTCGCGACAGTTGCGCGGCTGTTGCGTCGTGTGAATCGGAGGCGTAGAATCCAGGCCGCCGTCCACGCCGCCGCCGCAGCCTATCTCGTCGGAATCGTCGCCGCAATCGTCCACACTATCGCACTTCCACCAGTAGGGCACGCATTTCTTGTTGTTGCACATGAACATCCAGTCGTTGCAGGAGTTCATCGATATAGACGGGCTTATCGGTGGTGCGATAGTGGTGATGGTGCAATTTATCTCGTCGGAGCCGTCGACGCAGTCCTTGTCACCGTCGCATGCCCATGATTTATATATGCACCGATGTCCGTTCTCCTTAGTGTTGTTGCATGTAAACTGCCATGACTCGCACACCATGTTGTTGCAGTCCTTTTCGTCGGCGCCGTCCTCGCAGTCTGGCTCGCCGTCGCACTTCCAAGAGGTCGGTATGCACGAGTGATCCGCCTTGCAGACCATCTCGTCGGAGCGACACGTATTCGGTTGAACGTTCTTGGTGCAATTCTGCTCGTCCGAGCCGTCGCGGCAGTCGTCCTCGCCGTCGCAGCGCCAACGATGAGATATACAGCGGCCGTTGTGGCACTTGAACTGCGTCTCGGTGCAATTGGTGTACGTGCAATTTACCTCGTCCTTGCCGTCCTTGCAGTCACGATCCAGATCGCACACCCAGTATTTAGGTATGCATTTGTTATCGTCGCATTCGAAGTTATTCGGGCTGCACGTGGCGCGGTTGCAATGCACCTCGTCTGAGTTGTCGCCGCAGTCGTTGTCGCCGTCGCACTTCCAGAATTCGGGGATGCACACGTGGTTGTTGCAGGCAAACTGGTTGGACGAGCAGGTGCTGGCGACGCGCGGGCACGTCGAGTTGGTGTACGGCTTGACACCGTTCGGGCAGAAACACTTGCCGTCCGTCATCACCATACCGTCCAGGCAGAGACAAACGTAGCTGTTGTGCGGCGCGCCCAGGCAGATGTGCGAGCACGTGTTGTTCTTCGCGCACTCGTTCTTGCCGATCTGCACGCTGTGCGCGAAGATCTTGAGATCCATCAGACCCGCGATCTGGAAACCGACTACCGTGTTGATTCCGACCCCGTGATCCTTGTTGGCGATGAATATCATCGACTGCTTCCAATCGTCCCAATACACGTTGTCCTTGAACACAGCGACCGCGAATGGATGCGAGACACGCGCGTCGTTAGCGATGATCTTCTTGAACCTTTTACCATCGAAGTCGGAGGAAGCTATGTAATCCGCTCGAGCGTCCACCCAGTAGATACGTTCGGCGATATGATCGATCGTTATTCCGTTCGGCCATTCAACATTGGGCTTAGTGAACAATCGTTTAACGTCCGTGCCGTCTAAGTTGGCTCGGGAGACCGAGGCATTGCCCGGTGCCCAATCGGTCCAGAACATATAGGATGAACCGCGATACCTCGGGGCTTTTGCAGATTGTTCGGCCCTAATATCGTCCTGCGCATTCTGCCCATAGCAGGTACATCCGTTCGGATTATCTGTATCCTCATCTTAACACCGTCCACAAAATAGAGCACATTAGACACCCAATCGAAGGCCATTCCCTCGACGGAACTCAGATCGGTCTCAACGAGAATCTCGGGATAGCTAGCGCCATCCTTCAGACACTGTCACCGATTGTGTCGTTTACAATATCTGCCCAGTACAGACAGTTATTTTTCATATCAAATTCGATTGCAATGACATTCTTTAGATCGTGCACAGGTAACGTCTCCATTTTATTCTCCACCAAGTCGATTCGCGTAATGTGTTCTCGTTGGGCGACCAATAAGAATTCCGGCTTCTCGTCACATTTTCATCTTTCATGAATATGAGATTACTTTCGTTTTTTTTAAATTGCAGTTTAATGTCAAATAATTTTATGTGAATTTTTAATTAGAATATTCAGTATAAGTTGTTTATAAACAATTATTTGTATAAAAAAAACTGTAGTATGTCATATTGTATTATTGTTTTATATACTTAATATTACATAATTATTTTTTGGTAATTGTATACATTGAGGGGGTCACCTTGGATGACCTTGATATTTTAGTATGTTGTCAAGGTCACCCTTCTGACTGATCTTCAGAAGGTTTTAGCCCGCGCTCGTTGTTTATTCAAAAGTTATTTTAGCAGCGAATTATAGTTATTAAAGCAGTTATTAGCACCGAATTAGTTATTAAAGCAGCGAATCGTTGCTTTCGGCTCGAAACGAGGTCTATTTCCTCGATGTATACAATTACCTTATTTGTTTTCTATTCTGTTATTTGTATTATTCTATAATCTATATATTATCTATTTTATTTTATAATTGTATTATAATTTTATATACAATATAATTTTATATACAATTTTATAATTATCCTGTTTTGTATAAACAATATTTTTACTTAATTATTCGTCGTAATCGACGACTTAATTTGAGGCGAAATTTTAACTAGTTCCGGTAGGGGGCAAAAATATGTATATTAAGGTTGTATGACCCCTTAGAAGAAAAAATGTCAAATTCTTCAAACTTTGTCAGGTGATGAGTATTATAATAATAAAGCATTGTGCCAAGTTTGAACAAGTTTGCGAGGCTCGTTCAAAAGTTATAACAATTTGAATGTAACATGGGCTCTTATGGGAATTCATCAAGTTTCACTATTTTTTCAACTTCATTTGAGAAATTAATATTGAAGAAAATATGGCATACTTTCAAAACTTTGCAGAAATATTAATAAACATCTTACAAACAAATTAGAACCAAAAAAA